CAAATGCAGTAACTCTGAGCTAAAAGTCTCAGAGCTCTCAAAAAGCAGAAAGGCTCAGTAACCTTAGATTAGGAAATTTAACAAGGTAACTCACAGCATTCAGGAAACTAGCCTTGCCTTCTCTTTCCTAGGTTAAAAACTTTTCAGCCTCACATTTTCACAATTTTCATTGTTTAATTTCCCCCATGATAATACCCTCTTAAAAATAAACAAATAAACTAAACTCTGGTCAAGAGATAAGTTAAATCTCTCCTTCTCTCCCCGTTTTAAATGTACCAAACTTGATGACATAACATGAATTCAGTGATTTTATTTATTTATTTGATGCTTGTAATTCATTACTACGCAGGATACTTTCTAGTTCTTTTTAAATAATTCAAACATTTCAACTGAAATATATTTAACTATGTGTTACAACTGGCTGTATGATGACTGAGATTTAGAAATAAATATTATGTGCTCTGGAAAGTTATCAATAATTTATTTGTATTACCATTTACTGAGATTCTCCTGTACTCCATGAACAGCTATTCCCAGCTCTACAACTCACAGACAATAATGGCAAAGAGACCATGAAGAGAGGTTTGGATTGGTTGGAGAAATCTGTCGGTTACAGACGTTCAGTGCAGTTTATCAGAGTGGTTCATTAAAGGGCTGGAAAACAGATGTAACTTTCCAGTGTGATAATCAGAGCTGATGTGTAATTGCTTTACAAAGTATTCTATCAGATGGATGAACTTCCATGACAGGATACCACACAAAGGAATAATGAAAACATCCACTGCATACGTGTGCATCTGCGTATCTATAATCTAGGAATATCTAGTGAATAATCTACCAAAACACATTGTGAATACCTTCCCTCAGCGTTAACACCAGGACTGAAACTGAGTTGTTGTGGTGTCCTCTCCCCAGCCCCCCCCTTCTTTTTTGTTTTTTAAAGCTAATTTAAGACTGTCCTTTTTCTTGACAATTTTTAAGTTACTATGTGCTCATAATTCAACACATGCTTAACACACTCTACTAAAGATTTCAATTTTAATATACTAGGAAAGCAAACATTGAAAAAGTGAGCAATGAGTAAGACCACTTTAAATATTGACCATGAAAAATTAATGAATGGTTAAAAAGGGACATTTAAATAATTAAGAGTGGGTGCTCCGACTCCAAATTCTACATCTTCAGAAGAGATATGATTATTAGACTGAGCTTCTGCCAGATTAGGTAAATTGTGCTGCTTTTTCTTTTTAGTTCTTTCTCATTACTAGTGATGTCAATGACAAGACAGGTTATGGAATCAAGCTGAAATAAATGGAATTACGCTTAAGTACAGGAATATCAGCTGTTTTATCTGACACCTTCCTGAACCCATGAGACACAATACATAGATTTAATGACATGTGATGTGCACATGAAAGTATCTTGAGAAAAATATTTTCCATTTACTGTTAAACAACTACAAACTCAGGACCTACTCAAGACTTAAAAGCAAATTACTATTATATTTAGTTGTTACTGTTCATAAAATAAACAATTATAATTACGTCACTGGATATATATTAAATATCAAGTACTATGTTCCCTCTGTTCTAAACTTTTTCCAATCAAACCATTTTGACGATTTCACATTCATACACATCAAGGGTGAAGTCAGGTTTTTCCAGCTGCTTATCTACAAATTTTAGATAAATATGCAATTGGGAGATGACAGTGAAGCATTCTTTACGCAAATTTCTAGCAATTCAGCACCTACTTCTCATTTCCGGTTCAAAACTTAGCGAGCTGGGTTTGTGCACTCGGTACTGTTTCAACAGCTTTTTGTCCCAAGCTCCGCAATTCAAAGGATTTCCCAAGCGCAAAAATTCCCTATGAAAGAAAATAAAAAATTTACAAATAATTTTGTGTATTTGCCTAGAATGGCACAAATTTTTTAAAAGATGGTAATTATTTGTAATAAACATAACTTTTAACTGAGAAAATAAACTAATGCATAATCACAACAAACACATTTGATCATTTGAAACTACTTAAGTTTTGAACATATGCTGTCAAAAGTTGACAATGAAACAATTTTGATAAAACTCCCAATTCCCTTCTCTTAATTCCAAAGACTGGGCAGAAGGCTGCTGCATCCTGTAAGAGACCATCCAGATGCTCACTGATGTACATTCAGCAAACTGAATCCATCTGGAAAGGCAGACCACAGGTTGAAGTGAGTAACTGACCTCAGCTTTGTTTTATCCATGTGCCCTATTTGGGTGGGGGATCATTTCACATCTATCAACATCTGTATCTATAGACAACCATATTATCCGTATCTACCGCTACCTAGGCTATCAGTATCTATGGTAAGGGAAGCTTAAGTCCCTGCGATGCAACTATCAGCAAGCATGCTCCTTGCAAAATCATTTCTGACATGGCTACGTGTCAATGAAATGAACCAACTAGCTGTCCTGGCTGCAAGGTCAGCCGTCCATCCATAGGAGATAATACAATGAAGTTCCTTATTTTAGCTGAGATCACCAAATCACAGAATGGTTTGGGTTGGAAGGAACTTTCAAAGATCATCTAGTCCAACCACTCTGCTGTAGGCTGGGACATCTTTCACTGTATTGGGTTGCTCAAAGCCCCATCCAACCTGACCTTGAACACTTCCAATGATGGGACATCTACAGCTTCTCTAGGTAACCTCTTCCAGTGTCTCGCTGCCCTCATTGTAAAAAGACGTCTTCCTTACGTGCAAGTAAGATCTACCCTCTTTCAGTTTAAAACCCTTGTCCCTGGCCCTGTCACTACAGACCCTAGTAAAAAGTCTGTCTCCTTTGCTCTCATAAACTCCCTTTTTATATTGAAAGGCCGCAAGAAGGTCTCCCCAGCAAGCAATCCAAAGCATCACACAGCTGCGTGGGTATTTAACAAATGGTTCAAAATATGCTTATAAACTTTTCAAGCTTGCTTTTCTAGTACCAGCACAGATGTACAAACCTACTTGCACTAACATGCAGAAAGATCAACTTATTAAAGCTATGCATGCCCAGATTTTTCGAGACACCTCTTGTATCACATTCCTGAATTTCCTTCACACAAAATAAAATGCTAAATAAAACTGCTGGCCTGAAGCTTTTCCAGTCTGAGGTATTTAACATAGCACAGAAAACTCTAGGAATTCATCCTCTTCTATGGCAGTGTTACTTTTAAAACCATCATGTTTCCTCTTCCTGAGGACCTAGCCAGGAACAGCATTTTTGATAGCCTCTCAAGATTTGCAGGAAGTAAGCAAGCATTTAACTTCAGTATAATCTCTGAAAAACACCAAACAGATATCCCTGCTCCACACTTCTCCCTCTTCCCCTGTCCACCAGTTCCTAGCGTCTCCAGGGTTACATGCTGATTAACAAAAGCAGAACAGTCTATTCGATGCAAAATAAAATGGGATCCTATGTGATCACTAACACACAAGGTCACTTATGCTCTACACTTATCTCCACCATTTACAGTCAGTCAGCAACAGCGCAAACAGCAGGGCTCAGCTCAACTGGACTTCAGTGCTATCTTTCTGACCTCAACACCATCGGCTGCAGTGCCTGGGACGCCAGCCTTTCAAACATCCTTTGGAGTGGTGGATGCAGCGAGTGGTCCTCATCAGCCAGAGCAGCACTGCATCTTTGTAGAAGTCGTGCATGGAGCCCAGCTTCACACATGACTTGCTGGTTTCTCTCTGTGTGCACTAGAGATTGCAGGATATTGGCCACCGCCAGCTGGAGATCCAGCGCATGCTGACAAAAAAGAAAAGCACACAACTTGACAACACAAATAAAAGAAAGCCCTTGTGCATAACAACGAAAAAGAAACTACCATTAGCAATAAATACACAAAATGTCCTATACTGAAATATCTGTGCATGCGTGGGAAGAGACACTTCCACTTCTTTATGAAAAAAGATAAATTATATGAGGGATTACCATGACCATTGTAAAGAAAAACATTTCAGGTAGGGATGAAAAGCACATGAAAGCTCTCCTTTTCACCAGCAGAAGTGAGTCAGTTTAGAAGTTCTACGTGCTTAGAGTGCACTAAGAACTATTATTTTTGTGACTGCTAAGCTGTTCCTAGTAACTTAACACAGAATCATAGAATCATTTAGGTTGGAAAACACTCTTAAGATCATTGAGCCCAATCATTAACCTAACACTGCCAAGACCACCACTAAACCATGTCACCAAGTGCCACATCTACGCGTCTTAAATACGTCCATGGATGGTGACTCCACCACTTCCCTGAGCAGCCTAACCCAATGCTTGATAACCCTTTTGGTGAAGAAATTTTTCCAAATATCCAATCTAAACCGCTCCTGGCACAACCTGAGGCCATTTCCTCTCATCCTATCACTTGTTACTTGGGAGAAGAGACCGACAACCACCTTGCTACAACCTCGTTTCAGGTAGTTGTAGAGATCGATACGGTCTTCCCTCAGCTTCCTCTTCTCCAGACTAAACCACCCCAGTTCCCTCAGCTGCTCCTCATCAGACTTGCTCTCTAGACCCTTCACCAGCTTCATTGCCCTTCTCTGGATACACTCCAGCACCTCAACGTTTTTCATGCAGTGAGGGGCCCAAAACTGAACACAATACTCGAGGTGTGGCCTCACCAGTGCCGAGTACAGGGGCATGATCACTTCCCTACTCCTGCTGGCCACATTATTCCTGATACAAGCCAGGATGCTGCTGGCCTTCTTGGCCACCTGGGCACACTGCTGTCTCCCATTCAGCTGGCTGTCAACCAACACCCCAAGATCCTTTTCCGCCAGGCAGCTTTCTAGCCACTCTTCCCCAAGCCTGTAGCGTTGCATGGGGTTGTTGTGACTGAAGCGCAGGACCTGGCACGTGGCCTTGTTGAATCTCATACAGTTGGCCTCAGTCCATCAATCCAGCCTGTCCAGACCCCTCTGTACAGCCTTCCTACCCTGAAGCAGATCGATACTCCCGCCCAACTTGGTGTCATCTGCAAACATACTGAGGGTGCCCTTGATCCCCTCGTCCAGATCACTGATAAAGATATTAAACCGAACTGGCCCGAATACTGAGCCCTGGAGAACACCACTTGTGACTGGCCATCAACTGGATTTATCTCCATCCACCACAACTCTGTGGGCTCGGCCATCCAGTCAGTTTTTTACCCAACAGAGAACATACCTGTCCAAGCCATAGGCAGCCAGTTTCTGCAGAACAATGCTGTGGGAAACTGTGTCAAAGGCTTTAGTAAAGTCCAGCTAAAAAACATCCACAGCCTCTCCCTTGTCCACTAAGCAGGTCACCTTGTCATAGGAGATGATCAGATGAGTCATGCAGGACCTGCCCCTACAGACTGGGCCTGATCACCTGGTTCTCCTGTATGTGTCATGTGATGGTACTCGAGATGATCTTCTCCATACCCTTCCCTGGCACTGAGGTCAGACTGATAGGCTGTAGGTCGCTGGATCCTCCTTTCTTGTACACGGGCATCATATGTGCTAATGTCCAGTCAACTGGGACCTGCCTGGTCAGCCAGCACTGCTGACAAACGACGGGAAGTGGCTTGGTGAACGCTTCCACCAGCTCCCTCGGTACCCTTGGGTGGATTCCATTTGGCCCCATAGAATTGTGTGTCTACATGCGTTGCTAACCATTTCCCCTTGGATTTTGGGGCTTCATTCTGCTCCCCCATCATCATCACCTCTGCAAAATTCAAGATATATGGAACACAACTGCCAAATTAACGCCCTGAAGACAAAAGTTGCCACGGTCATCACCAGTAGACGACCAGAAAAATGAATCAAGTCTGGTAATTCTTGTAAGCTTTTGGAACTTTTTTTTTTTTTTTTAAATAAACAGTGTTCTTCCAGTATGACATCTCAAACAAAAAATACTTAAGCAACTTCAGAAAATGTCCAACAAATCCTTTATACACAAAACACCAGTAGAGGTTTTGGTTTGAGAATTGTACAAAGCAGGCAGTACAATTTTGGAACTCGAACATTTCCAGTTATTTCAAACAGCACATATACACCGAGCTATAATGTCCAATCCCTTGTCCTCCTCGTACTACACGTTAACACCCGATACATCAGGGAAAACATGAATTAATCACAATGCCTGGCAACTTCTCTGATGGCCATTTCAGACATTTCTTTAAATTTACATTGTTGCCAGGAGTTTGAGAGAGACAAACAAAACAAAGCCTATGAAATAAACCAATTTCTATCAGACCTTCATATCACCAGTTATCGAAAACAATCAGTGTGTGAAGTGTATTAGTTTCTCAGCACAAAATGAAAGGACATCATCTGTTTTCCTGTTTCCCATATCCATCCTTTTTCCCAGTCACTCTCAAAGCTTAAAACAGCAGAATTTTTTTTCCTACCTCTGGGTGTGTAGTTGATCCAACAGAGGCCAGAAGATCCAGCACAGAAAGCACAGCACCAGGGTGGATAATGACCGCATCGGAGCTTTGTATGGATATGGGTCCTGTTTGGAGTTTCACATCACCTATGTTTTTCTGAGGGCAAACAGCAGGTGTTGAAACAGAATGATATGCATGCCTGCAGGACAGAAAACATCCCATAGTTACAACACCCATCTATTATGAGCTTTGCATTTTTCAAGCAGCTGTAAAGTTGAACTAGGCTATGGATATTACTCCCCTCTCCTTCTCTTCCCTCAGTTAGACAGACCAAGCACTCTCCTATTCTCAAACCTGTTGGACATATTTACCCAAAGACAACCGGGAAGGGTCTCAATTTCTTGACTAAGCTAGAACTCAGAAGTCTTTTCCCCAGCTGCTATGCAGTTTGAAGAACTTAAAGGTTGCTTTTATCACCTCTCCCTTTTCATTCTAGTTGTGGTGGCAGCACACAGCAACAGCAGCATGCAAGCTATCACTGCTCCTGTTTTGGGGGACAAATTCAGCTTTCAATATGTTTCTCCCCATTTGCTTTTCATTAACAACTGATTATAAAATGCGCTATCACAAAACTCCAGCAATCTCTAATTAGCCACAGGAACAGGAAGTTGATCTCTGTGCACACTCGTTCCAGCAGTCCGTATGCTCTCAGTCTTTCCATGACTGCTACAGCACTTTAGTTTTACATTAAGCCGTTTTAGTCCAATCCAGGGAAAAGAGGCTTTGACACTCTGACTTAGAAGCAATCATTTGTGCCAAGAGCTGTAGATGTGTTTCTCATTGAAACTCTTGGAGGTATCAGCTTTGTGCCATTCTTCTTTCAGCACAAGATTCAAAACACAAACAGCAGAAGCAGCTTACTGAACATATGCTCTGAAGATGGTACTTCAGAAGTAAAAGGTAGCTCAAAAGGCTTATGCTCACCACAAAAAAAAAAAAAAACCCCACACACAAAACCACCCAAACACACCCATATTCTCACAGTATTTACCATATATACTTATTTGTAAGAGAAAAGAAAACAAACTCTAAGTAACAATCTTTCCTGAAGATCAAATATTGCCTGCCATTTTACTAGATGTGAATCCAGCAGAGAAAAGGTCTCTTCCTATCAAATCAGTTGAAAGAGGCATTTCCTCTCTCCTGTTCTCACTCATGGGGGATTTACCTAACCCTAACACAAACAACGCTCAGAGACTCATCGTGTTTCATTCATTAGGCATTTCCAACAAGCAAGTCTTTTCTCCTGGGAAAAACAGAACATAGATGAGAGATGAGGAAGGCTGCAAGCACAATTCTGTACTAAACACTTTGAAGGTTGCATCTCGAACACACTGACACTCTCCAGCAAGAAATGTCACTTGTGGGGGAAAGCTGAGGCACTGGATTACTTAGCTTAAGACAGGACACTAGAAAGTACAGCACAATCTTCTTCTGGCTGGAAAACGGGCTGGATGAACAAAGTTTCAACAAAAGCGTTCCTACTGAAAAGGGTCATGGCAGATCAATAACAACTGGACATCTGGAACAATCCAAGAGCACTTATTAATAGAGAGTTTTTGAAGAAAGATTAAATTACTGATGCTTTCCTTATTCAGCTAATATTTATAGCAAACACGAAACAGTATGGCAATTCTATCATAACCAACCACTAAGAAAAAAATCTGCCCAAATAAAATTCTCTAGTGTTTTCACAAACTCTCTAACCATCAATTTCCTAAACTTCTCTCTAGCAGACTCACTGATTAAAACATCTGGCAGTTAAAGGAAGGCTTCACTCTATCTTTTAAAATTAAATGGAATTAAGAACAGCAGAACAACTGATAATACTATCACAGAGAGATGTTATCTCAGACTTTTCTCTGTCTTAATTGAAACATGGGCAATTGTTTCTCATGCATCCCTAACCGCACTGCTCTTCATCTGAAGAAAACTGTTACTTCTTTCCAATGCCATTCACTGAGTGTCTCAATGCAAGTTTTACACGATACAGTTTAAAAACTAAATATCCATTTGTATTTAAGAATGCTCTTCAGTCTAGTGAAATTCCACTCCCCAAGACATTTCTGAAGATGAAGCTCCTGTCCACTTTTAAGCACAAATTTTACTTCTACCCCTGATCTGCAGTATCATATTCACCTCATTAGGTAAACTGTGAAATTACAACACAGTAGTACAGTGAGAGCCTAATAAAAACCCGAGCCATTGCTCAGTATGATTCACAAACAAGCACGTGATCCTGGCCTCAAACAGCCTGGACTTCAACATTACATACAAACTGAAAAAAGGATACAGTCAGGACTAGGCAATCTGCTTTTCTGCTAGCAATCTAAGTAAAAGTTATGTCCTTAAAGTATATATTATTGAACATTTTTCACATCAATTGAAAATATCTTCTATATATAGTTTTTCCATATACGGAGTACTTCTATCAAAACAATAGGAAAAAAACCAGTTCAAAAATATTTCTCTAGGCAGTGAAAAGAAAATCGATCCTACAAAATCCTGCCAAAATATTCATTGAATGTTAAAGGTCTATGAGTCAGTACAAAACCTGCAATAAATTTATTTAGCCATGTTTATAGATTCTTTATCTGATCCCTTTAAGGGAGAAGAAAGACAGAAATGGACAATGGAAAAAGGCAGTGTACCGAAGATGACATACAGATATGTCTAATTTACAAAAAAAAAAACCTGAAGAAAAATTCAAATTTCAATTGTATAACTAAGTAGAACTCTTGATGAGAACTGTAACACCATTTTTATTTGGAAATAAATAACTAAGATTTATAGTCAATAAACCCTCTGCATATCATTCCCCAAGAGTGATCACCATTCAAACTTTGTAGAAACAATGGCTATGAGTATTTTAAAGTCAAAGTTACATTCTATTCTCTACTTCACCTGTCAGGCCCAAAGCATCCTCTTAAAAAAAATTACAACAATCAAATGACTGGCAAAGATGTAGTTCTTGATTCAAATTTCACAGGAGGGGTGGAAGAACAATGCATTCCAGGTAATAGTGAGGACACCTATGTACCGCCATCCCAACGCGTGTGCTGGAGGAGTCCTACCTACTCTGCATACATAAAAGGTAACACTCGTAGGGCACCACTACTCAGGGAAATATAGCTTTCAGAAGTGGCAGACATGTCTGAGAGAGACTATTAGCATATTTTTGTATCCAGAACTGTTCTAGACTGCGTTCATCAAAACCAGAACTGTACTATTTTTGTTCATAAGAATTAATTGTGTGCACAGTGTCTGCTTGCTCTTTTAGCCAAAGAACATAGGGCTCTCCCTCAGGCACCTGTCTTACAAGTCAAAAGGCAGAAAACCAGGCCACAGCAACAAAGGAGATCCCGAGGAAGCCAAGTAAAAGAGACAGAAAACAATAAGAAAGCGAAGAGCAAACATTTCTCTCAGAAGAGTCAACTTCAACAGAATCTGACTGTACTTGACATTTAAAAAGAGAGAAAATCAAATAATATTGGACTACAAAAACCCAAGTTGCTTATTTTCGAAAGTAGGAAGATCCCAGCTACTGGCACTGAATTCACTAGGAATGACAAACACAATGCTGAACAACTATGAGAAAGTAGACAGCTGCTCAAACAGACTTCTTGAAAAGCCTAGCCCTATTTTTTCACTTCAAAACATATTTTTACAGAAAGGATCTGAAAAGTCACCCAGGGCCTGCACAATCATACTGTCTGTCCACTTTTGCTTTGAGTCTTACACAACTTGTTACCACCCAAAGGCCTTTTTTGTTTGTGAAGATCCATGTCAAACACATTCGTTTATTCCAGCAAGTACCCGCATTACTGCATGGGTGGTTGCCTGAATTGCCAAAAGCACCCCACAGCAATACTGACTCTTTAAACTATCTAATCTTTACCTTGCCTCATACCACACCGTTTTCAAATAACTGCTTGCACTTTCAGTACTACAAAAAACAAATAAAGGAATCCTAACATATCTATTAATATATACAAATATTTGTAGTTTAATTACCAGGCTGCATCAACCACCAATCTGGCACTCTTTTATTTATTCCACCCTGGAATCAGCTCCTGTTTGGTAGGCGTTGCACGCGTTCTGCTGCAAGCCTTCGCATACCCGTCCATTTGAGTAATTCAGTGAACCTGAGCAGCAAGATGTAGTACAGGAACAGCAAACTATAATAATGCTAGAGGTTAATACCGGGGCAAAGCTGTAAAAAGTCTCCAAAAAATGCTATTTTCTTTCAAGTTTCTTCAGAGTAAATGCGAGGGAAAGGAGTTTGGCAGCTAAGGTTTTTCTCTGTGAACTGCAACTGCTATGCTTGCTCCTAAACGCTTCAGTGTTGGAAAACAACGGCAACCACCACCTAAGAGGTTCTGGATTATCAGGAAGGTGGCCTTGTCCAAGCCAGACCCTGCAGAATAGCCAGGTATGACCTGGGTAATGTCACTCAGCAAGACAGAAAAAGGCTTCTGTTTACTAACCTGCTCAAGTACAAACATTTCCTTTCAAAACAGTTTCCAAAAGCAGCTTTGGTTGCTTCCCTTTGCAAAATATTTTACATTCCAAACATGAAATTTAATGGCATATTTTAAGCCAAATGCCAAGCAAAAATGACCGTATTTTCCACAGATAGAACCTGCACCTCAGATAACCCACTGTCTTTCAAATGTCTTTTTAGCCTTCAAAAGCAAATCTTTGCCAAAGCTGCATCTTCAGATAACGAATGGCTGTTCCCTTCCCTGGGGGCTCCATGAAAAACCTCCTTTTCACCATTTGCACAGGCCTGTAAGTCACATTGTTGTTGAATCAATAAAAAAACAAAAATAATAAAATAAAATTTAAAAAAATATCTACCAGACACTAAGGGGTATAACAAAAGATAGTAGATTGGGCAGGGGGACAGTGGGTGCTAGGATTTCTGAATTGCACCATTTGTGTTTTCTTTCCTAATCTTTTAATTTAGCATTACATCACTTGGTAGTCAACTGCTGACAGGTTCATGCTTTATTTTTTATTCTGTGCAAACAAACACCTTAACAAGGCATCCACTTTCCTACCAAAAGTACAGTTTCCTGAAAAATTAGTCAAGAAAAAAAGAAATCCTGCTGTATTAATTGATCTACTAGCATAGTCTGAACTTCTCTGAACTGCTCCTGAGAGTCTTACTTACACCTCCCTTAGACCATTTCTTATACTAGGTATTATTTGGTTTTGAATCAGGAACGTTACTTTAAGTGCCTCAGGAGTCTGGAGACATCTCTATTCTTGTACATTAGCATCACTACCTAGGATTCACTACGAAATCTGGATTCACCTTTACATTTATTTTATGCAGCAAACACACAAGTGAAAATACACATCTCAGAAAAAAAAAAAAAATAGCAACTTGAAAGGAAAAAAAATCCCAAGAACTAAGAAACACAAAGGCGAGAGAGAAATCAGAAGAGAGATCAATTTCTCTTTAAAGGTTCGGTACCTTTTCCTGGACAAAGCTGGTGTACCCCAGGGAGAGGGGAGAGAAGTCTCATTTGTCAGGCAAGGAGGGAGCTGTTCTGCACGACTACAGACAAAACAGACAGGGGTAGGACAGAGAGGTTAGAGAAGAAACCAGAGGCTATAAACTTGTTAGTTTTACAAAAGCGCCAACAAAATCATTACTAGGATCCATTCTTCAGAAACAACACGGATGACAAAAGACACTACTGAATGACACGCACCAGGTAAACACGTGGACATGCAAAGCATGCACTTGTTTTATGGCATGACTCTGTAGTGCTTGTTCATTACTCTGCAGAGGTTTATTGACATGGTCATGCTAGCAAAACAGAAGATATTTCAATGTTAAACAGCAGAAACTGAGAGGGGGAAGGAAAGCCTGAGCAAATTAAGTACAACCACAGCGGCTAAGACATAAAAGCAACGTAAACTTTACAAAGAATGATGGTAAGAAAATTTAAGAAAGAAGGGAGAACGCAGTCACTGAAGATGACAGAAAAAAAAAAAAACAGAAAAAAGAACTTAATGAGGTAGCTTATGCAACACCACTGTAGGATTTACTTACCCTATTAATTCCTCATACTCTACTGTTAGCCAGTTTTATAACTTCTATAGTATGTGCAACACATTAATACACATTTCCCCCCTCCCATCTGAATGGCTTAATACTACTTTAAAATTAGATCAAGTAATTGATTTCTGCACTTGGCTTTTGTTTTTCTGGTTTTGTTTTGGTTTTTTAAATAAGAGAAAGGCATTAAGATTTGCTGCTTTGGAGGAAAAATTTTCATTAACAAAAATATGAAGTTTATACTTTACTAGTCGCCTAGTTTAAGAAAGCCTGACCAATCGGCAGCTCTATGAATATCTCAACCTACACAGCCACACCTTCAACACTTGGAAAATCAGACCCTGTCTTTGACTAACTAGGTGGCCTGTCTTAGAAAAACAGGGTCAGATGCATTAAGTAGCTGGAATGCAGCAGCTCCAAGGTCCCAGATATGAAGCTTAGGTCTGTGTTCCACTTTTTTGTACCTTAAATTATGGATGACAATCACTTTCAGACAAGCCAATCTTCAATACATGCTTCAGTAAGTTTTGCTGTCATTTTAAATCACCTTTAAGACTTCACTGCTCATTTCGAATCTTGGGTATAAGAGATTGTGTAGTTGTGTAACTCTGGGAGTGTCTCCCAGTTAAATTTAAAAAATAGTCGTCTACAGACTAGCTAGAACTTCAAAAAAAACATGCTAATCCATCTAAAACAAGATGTCTAGTCTAGATGTGTTTAGAGGAAAGGAGCATCAGAGGAGACCTTATCACTCTCTACAACTGCCTGAAAGGAGGCTGTAGCAAGGTGGGTGTCAATCTCTTTTCTCAAGCAGCAAGTGGCAGAACAAGAGGAAACGGCCTCAAGTTGCACCTGGGGAGGTTTAGGTTGGATATTCAGAAAAATTTCTTTGCCAAAAGGGCTGTCAAGCATTGGAACAGGCTTCCCAGGGAAGTGGTTGAGTCCCTGGAGATATTTAAAAGATGTGTAGAAGTGGCACCTGGGGAGACAGTTTAGTGGTGGACTTCGCGCAGTGTTAGGTTTATGGTTGAACTCTACCATCTTAAAAGTCTCTTCCAATCTAAACGATTCTATGATTCTAAAGTCATCATGTTATTATCTAATTACTTAAAGTCCCATATCAAAGGAAAAATGAACTGAAGATGTGATATTCAACAATCAATTTTTCATTTGACTCAATAAAAGCATAAAGATCTAGTAGTTCTGTATGATAAAGCAACGAGAGAGTCTGCCCATAAATGACCAGGTTGCTTCAACACATGAAGTATTACCATAAACTGACTTCTCTGTCTTAATTGCTGCCATGATAAAAACATTCAACATCAGAGCCAATGGTGCATATCCTGGAGAACACCAGCAAGCTAAGTCAATATTTGGTCAGATGTTGATACATTATATTGCTCTCACTGGAGTGAGGAAACAAAGAAATAGATTAAAATGGAAATACATAAGCTTGCAATGAACATATGCCCAGAAAACTATTTTGGAAATTTCATACCTGTCAAAAGAATCTGTCGCTACCTTGTAGAGGTAAATAAAAAGTTTGCTGCAGTGTCTTAGCGTAGGTGACACAGAATCCAGGGATATTAGGTCATCCTCCAAAAGTCTTTGAAATAGTTGTGTATTTGAAGGGAAGACATTCAAGGGACTTATTTTTCTCAAGTCTGAGAAGCAGCCAAGTAATCGAACAGCATCTGCTAGTTTTTCATACTGGATCTCTGTTTTGAAGAAATGAGAGTTGGCTGGCTCATAGCGCATTGCTGCTGTCAATGTGCAGAACACAGTATGAAGCAGTTCAAACACTTGATTCTGGTTTACTTTCTCCCAGCCATTCTTAGGCGGCGAGCACAAAGATCTTTCCATAGCAACGAGTAAAGAGGTGACATACACAAATCCACCAACTTTTCTAAAAACAGTTCTTGTGCGGTGACTTTCTCTCAGCACTGAGAGTAGGGCCTATGGACAAAACAAACAATCAAAACAAAGAAAAAAAAGCAGCAGCATTACAAACAGCTTGAAAAATGGCAGGAATGTTTTTGTTTTATACGCTAGCAAAATCCTCATGTCATTTGTCAGAATTTGGTAATGCCTGAAGTCTCCAAACACCAGCTTTGTACTGCAAGAGTCCCTGCCCTCAAGACCTTACAAAATAAAAGGAGAAAGTGAAGGAGAAAGTAAAGCATTGCCCCTAATACAGAAATATGAAATTAATGAGATAAATGAACCTGCCAACAGAAAAGAGTTGACGAAGCCTAGAATGGAACCCAAAATCCCCAGGCAATTCCTGGAGTGATAAGGCAGACAATATACAGCTATTAGAAAGGAATCTACTCTGCAACTATACTTCACAAACAATTTCAAACAAGAGTGGGTAAACGACTGCCGGTAGTAATGAGAAATCTAAATCTTGGAGTATCCTAGCACAAGTCTCCCAGAAATCTACAATGCACAAGCACCTGGCAGCTACGAAGTCACGACTCTATTCAAAGATAGCAACTGAAGCAAAGAATTAGCCCAAAAACCCCACTTAGTTTCACTACAATGAAATCCATAAATCTCTCAACTGAGTGAAACTTGATTTTAAGAGTGAGCCTGAGAGAGACATAGAAACAAAAATGGGTAAAACCCTACTTGCCGAACAAATACAAAGCCCCAGTATAAACAGTGGAAACTACATGAATCTAGGTACTAGAGAACAATACTCATTTATCTGTGAAATCAGGGGGTGGGGAAGCCCATCCACCGAACCAAACCAAACAAAAAAACAGCTGTCATGGCAAGTTTGATCCACATACGAATACGGAATACAGAAGAAAGTCTCTCTACATGAAGCATCACAAATAACAGGAAAATGTTACTGATAGACAAAAATAGGCTAGGGGAGTGGGGGTGAATCTTTTGTGACCAAGAGTTTACTTCTTCAGAATCATACAGCTGTTTTCAAGCACTTAGAAGACATATAGTGAAAGAGTTAGAGCGTCATTCCTTTGAAGGCGATATCTCAATTCCTGCCAAACCTGGATAAACAGTAAGGGACACATCACTGCACCATTCTGGGCAGTCAGTTCCATAACCAAAACTTCTGAAAACAGCATTGATGGAAGACAAATACAACAGGTCAGATGAAGGACAGAAACCCTGACTTTGGATGTTAAATCTGTTGGGGAACTGCCATATTCTTTCTCTCCTCTCAAGTACTGTGAAGGAGACATGCTCAAAAACGACTCAAGACCTTCATAGACAAAATATATCACATAAATAATTTTACTACTAGCTTTCCTTTCTGTCTTTTGGAATAATATGAGGCTGCTCATCTGCCAGAGAAATATTACAGCTCCTTTTAACAGAGATGACCCTAGATATGTCTGCGCACTCTCTGTTAAGACTTGTTTACTTATTACTACTTGCCTCAGTTTTTCTACCCTAAAATAACAGTATTATGCCAATTTACAAAAATAACATTAACTATTCTGAGAAGTTGTTGCAGGTCTAGATTAGCAGCCAAAAAAAATAATTCCTCCTCCACTCGTTGCTTTACTTTCCTACCTTTCCACTATTTTGCTTCAGCAAGCAAGTTCTTTGGCTTTATCTTCTACTATGGTCACTACAAGTTATATTTATATTCATTAATTCAGCATTTATAACTAACAAATTAGTAAAATAAAATATATCTGCCACAGGAAAATGCAAACCAGCACTAGAAATAAATTTAGATGTTCCACGCTTGCTTTTTCCTCCCCCATGTATGCTCAGTATTTTTAACAGAATAATACTCTGCCAGTGAAGATCACCATAACTGTAGAATCTCATTTCCTATCCACTGAAGCTGATTACAAGTGATAATGCTAAAAAAAAACCCCAAACATACTCAGTAGCCTTCATCTCTGATTCTGAAACCTACCATGGACAGATGGAAGAAAATAAAAAACAAGCATCAAATGTATGCATTTCAACACCAGAGACAATCTACATTCAGTTGATAAATACCATCCATCCGATTCAATCCCCTTCTCAGTGTTCTCTTTTTTTAAAAAAAGTTGTTTAGGAGAAAGAGTCCTGAGCAGTACTTCATTTACCCTTAAGATGTCTGTTTTCAGCTGCAGTTCCGTAGGTGGAGCCGAGTGCATCAGTCCCAACAAAGTGCCCATATCATCTTCTCCACTAGGTGATAACACCAACTGCTGGATGATCATCAGGGCATGCTGTCGGCACTGGGGATACTTCACTATGTTGTGCACACATCTCGCACCACCAAACTCCCTGAAAATACCTACTCAAAAAGGGAGAGGGTGAGGATAAGCGAATAAGGGGTATGAAAAAATACAATCAGTCATAAATAATGACAACAAAACATGAAAGGTGTTTATTTTCACTTCTACAGATTGAATGGCAAAGTTTTAGCCCTGTGGAAGTTTAATGACTTACTAATATTTTTCCTCTTCTACCCCAAATAAAAACAGAACTTGAATGATATTCTTCTGACACTATTTTTCACTGAATGTGTTAAGGATGCAGGTCAGTTCTAAGAATTTCCTCAATAATTCTGTTACTCCACAGTAGTTATTCTTCTCATGCTGGAGCTCAAAGAGTCACAGGATGAAACAAAGAAAAAAATACAGCAAACCCTCCATCTTTAGCAAAGACTATATGCTGTTTTAGTTAAGGATAGTGTTTATATTACATTTAGTTCACTGCCAAAAATAGAACCAGGCTGCTTCTGGACAGGACTAGCAAACAAGGAGCACTGGTTGAGAAGTGATTCGATCTATCCACAAGATTTGTTACTGTTATAGTTTGGCTGTGGCGGGCAACACAAGGGCCGCACGGCCACTCTGCCATCCCTCCCCACACTGGAGTGAGGAGGAGGATGGAAAGAAACAGGCAGAAACTGGTGGGTCAGGATGAGGACAATTTAGCAGAACAGCAAACAAAGGGAACAGGAACAACAATACCGATCAGGAGAAGACACAACACAAACAGCAGAACGCACAGAGCCGCTCTCACCACCTGCTGCCGTCCGACTGCCTTCCCACAGCCCAGCTCCCCCCAGCCTGAACCCAGCATGACGACACATGGTATGGAATACCCTGCTCTGTTTGGCCAGGTGGGGTCAGCCCACCTGGCTGTGTCCTCTCCTGGCTTCTGGTGAAAATTAACCCTGTCATGGCTGAACCCAGGACAGTAAGATTCTGCATAATTTTTCCTGTGGCAAGACCTACCTCTGTTTAGATAAAGTTTAAGTCAAATAATGGTTCTCAAGCTTGCTGGATACTCATGTGCCAAGAACACGTGCAATATTAACTGAAAACTAATCGAAAATTTATTCTAAAGACAGCATGAGAACCAAACTGGAATATATATGACATAAATAGTTTGTTTAGTACAGTGTCAGCACCTAGAGTACTGCCCTATGTTAATTACTGAAAAAGAAAACAGAGTAGGGAAATGGATCAGTGCTGTGTTACTGCATCAAAAGGCATCACTTTCCTTGTGACCATAAATTAAAAGAACACTTTAAATTATCAAGTTCAAGATTAACAAGCTAGTCAGGACAATGTTTATTCCCTCTAATGTACACACACATTTCCTGCCTTCTCTCATGTTCTTCGGATGAGACGAGCACTTGGACAAGGCAAAAGGAGAGGCCTCAGACCCTGAGACACTTACAGAATCACAGAATGCTAGGGGCTGGAAGGGACCTCTGTGGGTCATCTAGTCCAACCACCCTGCTGAAGCAGGGTCACCTACAGCAGGCTGCACAGGACCGCATCTAGGTAGGTCTTGAACATCTCCAGAGAGGCAGATTCCACAACCTCCCCAGGCAACCTGTTCCAGTGCTCTGTCACCCTCAGAGTGAAGAAGTTCTTCCTCATGTTCAGACGGAACTTCCTGTGCTTCAGTTTGTGCCTGTTGCCCCTTGTCCTGTCACTGGGCACCACTGAAAAGTTGGTTGCATCCCTGTACAGGCAAAGCGCACCTCCTCAGTGCTCAGGTCTCTTGTTTTCAGAGAGACCAAGGTAACATTTTATACTTCTGTTGGTCTACTTTATCCACTATTCAGTGAACCTGTCTGGGCCTGGACACCCAAATTTCTTATTTGAAATTCAGTTATCAGTTACGCAATATTCAGGAAACCTTATCAGAGATAATGGTTTAACATGAGAAACCAAGCTCTGAGTGTCGTATGAAGCACTGCAAGGCTGTATAATGCCTATTTATGTGTCTCTGTGATGACCTAAAACCTCTGCTGGCCTCCGGATACAGTGCCACCAGGCTCATATCCATGTCATGCTGCACAGACAGCAAGTTCGCAACTCCTTGAGAAATGGTTTCTTAACTGCTCCTGTACAGCTCTGTCCTACTCCCCAACTTGGAGAGTTACTGATGAAATGAGATCCTTGAACTCTCCAGGAATCCTCAGAAACAACATCTGTGGCATCATCCCACAAGTCCTGATGCATTTTATGGTACCCTCTGTTGTTTCTCTGGTAGATACTCAGAGATTAACTCAGTACCAAGAGGCAGCAATGAGGTACTGATTGCTGCTTCAAGCTTCCTAGGTGAGGTCAGGGATGCTGTTTCACAGCAGCCAAGAATTTGTCACAAGTCATGTGGATGCTGCCATGGTCAGATCATAAACCATATCTCAGAGGAGCAAGGCTCAGCTACCGCAGACACTGACACTACACAGGTACATGTAGTCCAGTCCTGTGAACAAGACCTGCTGCTTGTAAAATACGAGGCAGTTCCAGTCCTTCAGAGATGTTACTGTCACATACTTACACCACCTTCCCTCTCTCTAGAAATCAAACAATCCTCAGACTAGTTGGTTTTGGGTGTTATGTGTGTCTGTCCCCTCTCCCCCTCCCAAAAAAATCTCTTTTTATGGAAGCCCCCACATGTACCTTTGTGCCACTCCTTCCTAACTCTTTTCTAATTCTGCCTTTTCTTATACTGCAAAACGAAAGCTGAGCAATAAATGTACAAGTGTGTAACCAATTCATGCAATTCATCTGTAATGTACATGAATTCCTCTCTAAAACCTCCTTTTTTCAGCCTAATTGATTTGCTTCTTGGTTCATCATTGAACAGATTCATTTAGTAAATCAAAGATCATGTTGTTTTCCTTTCCATTGACAGGATAGGTAGCTTGGAGGACAAAAGCAAGTGCAAAGGAGACATCACAACTTTAGAAAAGTTTCTGGCAGTGTCATCCACAGCTTTCTCATAAGCAACCCGACCAAATGGTCTAAACGCAATCATGACAGATTGAATGTATAACTAATTGAAACAGCTTGGAATAACCTTTGCCTCCCTGCAAGGCCTTTCTGTTTTGACTAAGGGCATGTGACTGGGGTTTAACTTAAGTACCATGAATAACACCTTTCCTGATGGAATGAATAACTTACTTATCAAATACATGGACAAAGCCACGCTGGCAGATGTTGTAAATGCTCAAGAGGCAGAATTCAAAAGCCATCTTTGAAAGTGGTTTGAAACCACTAGCTGAAACGCAATGAATTTGAAAACCAGCGTAACGGTGAAATGGCATAGAGAACATCGGAGGTTACTTCAACACTGGTCCTAAATTTAAATTAAAACATTTGCCCAGGCAAAAGCAGAAAAGAAACAAGTTACAAGATTTACATCATTAGCCCAAGAGTTTATGTTTAAACAGTAAGCTGTCAACCAAGCTGGACAGGATTTCATTCTTAAGCACTTGTCACAGATCGTAGCTTCTCCTACTTAAATGAAAATAAAGCCAAAACCAGAAGTGAGAAAACACCAGTCAGAATTGAGAAAAAGGAAAAAAAAAACCTGCTTAAACAAGGACGTTTCACAGCCTCCAAGGCCTGAAACTTCCTGGTTCCTCAGGGTGGTGCCTGTTTCCCCCCACCTGCTCATTTTCTTCTTTGTCTAATAGAACAGACAAAAGGGTTTAAAAACAACTGTCACTCTTTCTCAATCTGGTATTTCAAGCTCTCAGAGACAGCTTTTATCAATATGAGATACACATACTGTCTATTACTACGTCACTAAGTCTCTGCTAATCAAGCATAATAGAAAAAGACACTCAAAACAGAGCCCTATTTATACATACTGACTGGGAATATGCCTTCAAAAACGAAAAACCGTCTTTCACTAAAGATGCAAGCATTATTTATCACATTTAAGTAGACGTGACACTGTCAACAGGAAACTACATGTCTAATTATATGCTTAAATTTCTTGATGTACAACCTGCGTTACAAGCACTACTAAAAATTATTATAGTATTGTTGGAGAGTGATTGGGTGTGGTGGTTGCCTTCAGGTAAACAATAGCAAAGACTCTCAAGTTAAAAAAAATCACTATCTTGTATTCCTTTATTTTATGCACTTCAGTTTATGCTGCCTATTCTCTCTTCTGGAAAAACTTGGCAAGACAAAAAGTGTACTTTGTTTATGTGAGTACTTGCCTGAAGATAGGAATTGAAGACTACTTTGCTTTTAGGCATTATTTTCTTAGTTACCTTTTTAATAAATATTTTGATAGAGGTGTCTCTACTTGCCTGCATTTGTGTTTGATCCTTGTAGTAGCACTGTCAAGGTCTCCATAACCAATAAAGCCAGCTGCTTTTGGTCCTCAAATGAACTGTTCCTTGAGTCCCCTAAAAACAATTTCAGAAGCCCAAGTCACAGCAACAATCACTCTTTTCTAAGATGCTTTTTGATACTTTCCACCAACACTTTTAGCTTCTTTGCTTCCCCAGAGATCATGCAGCCTAACTATATTTCAAAGCAAATTCAGATTTATCTACACATGCATTCCTAGGAAAGCTTAACTATGAATTATTTGAAAAGTAAAGGAATTTAAACAGAAGTTCTTGAGCACTGTGAGCTCAGTGGCTGACGCTGCAGCTGTATGTGTAGTTTCATATCCCCAAGTGCTGTTTCTTGAAGCCACGAAACAATACCATAGCTCAAGACTTAAAAGGATCCATGCTTGTTCAGTATTCAGTACTTGAAAAGAGAAATTCCACACAAAAGTACAAAACTACATGCACATATTTACAGTAAATGTGCTGATCATTCAACAGGTGTAACAGACGAATCAACACTGCAAGGGGCATCTTATACAGAGAGCAACACTCCCGAAAAGAAAAACCAAATTGTTTTTACGTTACTCTAATGAAGAAAGCCACAACACAAGGGCATGTACACCCAGACAGCACCCTAATCAGATGGCAGCTTGGTCCATTTATTTACAAGAACATGAGAATTGATGTATTTTTCAATGGAGTTGCTGGCAACAAAGCTTTCTAACTCTAATCAGATCCTACCGCTCACTAAGGAAGCTTCAGACAATAAACCCAGGTGGAACATCCAACAGTTATGATTAAAAGTGTCACTGATGCACACTAACTCATTTGCAGTTTGAATAAAGAATGTAAAAAAAAATTCTGTCTGTGTATATGCATGCACATATGGCACTTCATATTGCCTGCTCTGCAGGCTAAGCAGCTATGTAGCTTATCTCCAGGATGCTCAATTTCGGAGATAACTAATTTTTAAAGCATTTTTTTCTTAAAAATGCTCTGAGAAAAATGTAGACTCAACTTACAAAAAAAGTCTGCAAAGTTGAATATATACCCGTATTAAGAGCTCAGATATGTGCTCTGCAGCATTTTTTCAAAGCTGGGGCTAAACACGATATGCACAAGCACCTTCTGTGAGGAAGAGTATAGATTCTGTGTATGGCTCCTTCACTCGCTCTTTTCATGTTAAGTAACAAATACTAAACTAATACATAAAAAAATTAAAAAGAAAAATATTAGCTCCTACTATTTTCCATTTATACAGCATCTTTCATTCAAGCTTGCCTCAAGCTTCTCGCAGGCCATTAAGAAATGTGCAATTCCAATGAGCTTTTAGGATGGCACAGCTGCTGCCGGCAGAACTCAGCCCTTGAGATACACGTTCAGGTTCTCTTGTTCTTTCTCTTAAGTGCTAGCTTCCACCATTCCCAGCCCCTCCCCAAAAAAGACATGTATTAGTAAAATGGAAGAGCATACACTACCTTGATCATTCAGTGCCTGAGTGGGATCTTTCAGAAGGGCTGCATATTTATGAAGAAGATTTACCATCACCTCCAGAAGCCCCACTTCCCTGAAGACATCCTTAAAGATGTAGTCATGACGGGTGAACTTAAGGAGTGTCTTCATGGCAATGATGCTACACTGAAAAGAAGTGCTGGATTTTAAAAGGATGCTCACACTGATCAGCTCTTTACAGGGTATGTAATTCAAGCTGAAGACGACAAATTCCAGCATCTCAAAGTATTTGGTCTGCACTTCTGGGAGTTTAGGAATTTTCTCTGCAAACTGAGACAATGTGTGCTGCGATTCCAAAATGAAGTAGTTGGCATTATCCGCCATATAAATATTTGTGATAGCATCAAGGATAATTTGTGCTAGATAGTTGGTTTTTGCTCTCAAAAATGCATTCTGGAGGACTGAAAATGCTTGAATATTCCTCATACTGTGACCTAAAACAGGAAAACAAGCGGGATGGGAGGAAAAAGGAAAGAGAAAGTTCTTAATAGTCATAAACAATGAGTACACTTAATAATGATGTATGCATTTTCATAAGTGTGAACAAAATAACAGTATATGTCACGTACAATAATTTTATTAAAACTGTTCAAAAAAGCCTGTGTACGATCACTTACATTGCAAATCCTACAATCTACTGTTCATTAAGATGGCATTTTCATATTTGAAAGTGTTTACACAAGCAGCTAAATGAAAGATCATTCCTTTATAACAGGTAAGTAAACTGACCTATTGTTAAAACACGCAGCGGGATATAGTTCTAGCAACAAAACAAAGTCTGTCTGTCGTCTACCCAGGCCATAAGCAAACTCCTTACAGCAAGAGTAAAATGTTCTGTATTCCATAATACACAACGCAACACTGTCCTCTACAAGTACTCAGCAGGCTAAGTTTAGAATAACCACCATCTGTATTCCCTCACTCAGGGTAACAGGCAATGACAAATCCTTGCCAACCAGGTTCAAAGCTAGACAGCACGCACGGCCTCCAAATTGTCCTCTTGCTTCACTCCTTGAAAAACACCTGCGAGAATATGAGCGCTACATGTAAAGACACTCCACAGGGCAGTGTAAGGTCAGCAGCTGCCCGCCCTCCACAGAGAGGTTGCTCTTGCTTAGGTTCAAGATTAACTGGTGTGAATGACCATATCAGTATCAGAAGCTGGCACAGGGCTGGCTTTGGGAATCAGGCCAGCAAATAAGAAAGCTCTGGCAGGGTCCAGTACTGTTAACGATTAGGGAATTAAAACAAAGGGCGAGAGTTGTGAAGTGCAAGGCAGCTATAATAATAGCACACAAAGATCTCGCATCTTTAAAAGCCTGGTCAAATATCTTCTGGTAAGTACCTTCAAGCTGAACAAAATCTCATTCATTTAGCCAAAGAATGCATCATCTAAGAGCGCTGCCTGCGGCTCCCATAATTTTCTATGGACAGATATTATTCTAATTCTACTAAAAAGATGCCTCAAAGCCAACTTTAACTTCTATAGGAACAGTACAAGTCTCAGTGGACAAATCCCATGATAAAGGAAACAACTAATGGTAAAAATAATTTAAAAAAAATTAACATTCAAGAATGAGAACGTGGAACACATTCTAAAGAAAGAGTTTACAACCCTCTAGCAATAAAATCTTATTTTCAAACAAGCTACAAGCAAACCATTAACCTGATTTAAAAACCCTTTCATAAACAAAGAATCCTGATTTATTACATATGCTCTGTGGAATGCTACTCTCTTCATTGTTTATAACCTAAGTTGTCCAGTTTAAAAGGAAATTCAATTATCTTTGTGTCTAGTCTCACCGCCTTCCCTGACAGTATTTCTCCAGAAGGCAACAGGAAACTTCCTTGAAAACTAACATGACACAATTTCAAATACTGGAAGTATATTAATGTTACATTGTAAGTCACACTCACCTGTTTCGATAATGACATTTTTACATGCTTTCTTTACAATGAAAAATGATGAAAAGGGGATTTAGAGCTTATTAAATGTGACAGGAACATAGGTAGTGACAGATACAACTATTTATATTCTAATTTAGTATCAACAGGTTCCAGGCAATTTTGCAGATTAATAAATTATCTTTGATTCTTATGAGGACCCTTGAAGAAACCAAATCTTAACCAGCTCTTCAGAGTTCAACAGCTAAAAAGATTTAAATAGAAGCAATTAAGAAAATGAGCTAGTATGGTCTTCATAAAAAGACAACTTGCCAAAATACTGAAAAAGCAGGTAAAAGGAATAGAGATGTCATGACAAATACCAGAAAATTAAAAAAAATAATTCCTTTAGACTGCAATGGGCCATGGTTCTCTCATGCTACATCATATATGTATCAGAAAAGCTGATTAGCTTAAGCAAAAATTTGTATATTATTATCAAAACATGGAGAAATTAAGCTCTAAATGTGACTATCACCTAGTGCCAAGGGAAAACAATTCCCATGAACAATGAGCTCTCTCAATACCACAGAAAGGAAGACATTGTCCAAGGAACCTAGATATACAAGAGAAACAGTGAAAGTAAATCCATTCGCCTATAAATCTATAAATGTAACCCTATCACAACAGGTTTCCTAACATCCCTGGTACTACTAAATCCCATAAAAGTCCAAGTAACAAACTACCTCTACAGGCGTTATTAAATTCCAAACTCCTTAGCTACATCCAAGACTTACCTGAATTTTAAGTTTATAACAGGACGTGCAAAATAAGTTCATATTTATAAGCCCCCTGCCCCCAACTTCCTCAACCTTATCTGCATATCATAATTGACTGTGGTTGCAAGCACACCACAGATTTCACCACCCTGAACAATGGTGATGAAACAACAGATTTCAGCTCACAAGTTACACTTGCCTAAGCTGACAAAAGCTAACAGGAAGCAAATCTGCCCCTCCCACCCCAAATCAAACCAGCACATCAGCTTTTCATATCAATTTAGTAAAAGCAGCTTAAAATACCACAAATCAAATCAGTGCATCTCTCCATTACGATAATCTCTTAAAATGTCCACGCAGAAACTGCCAGCTTTGCAGTGAGATATGTTTGACTCAGCCTTTAGTCCTCAAAAACAGAAGCCCTACACTTTCTTCTTTGGGTACCAACACCCAAATACAACCTCCAAGATCAAAAGAACTAAGCGTTTCACATGCAATCTTAGTAAAAGAGTTTAGACTCAACTCCAAATAGTTTTCGTAGTATACAACTTCTCTGTATTTTGTTGTATACATTTAAAAAACAAAAAGAAAAACAGAAGGAGAAAGCAAGCTGACTCACCTTTGCCTGCAGGCTGCGGGACTGCAAATCCAGGTAGCAGGAAAGGTACTCCCGTGGTAACACCAGCTGGCTTTAATTCATTGACACCATATGTTGTTAAGGAAGTTATCAAATTAACTAAGTCCTTCAAAGCATCCTTAGATTCAGCCTCTTTTGCCTGTTCTAATCTAAAGAAAATACAATAGATCAAGTTAGCAGCACCAGTTTATTTAAACTCAAATCACTTTAATAAGCTATCTTTTCCATTTTTCTCTATTAATTTAGAGACCACACTTTTACTGCCCTGTTCCTGCAGTATTTTACACGTTGTCTGTTCGTATTTCACACCATTTAGTCAAGCATTATTGGATTTATGAGAGCATACATTTATTTGCCATACAAATTCACCTCATAAATCCTTGAACTCAATCTGCTAAAAAGCAGCACAGACATGAAAATTACTTTTAAAATCCTCTTACAAACATGAAGCTATTGGATACGAAAATAGTTAGACAGTCTGTCATTAAATAAATCCGTAATTAACTTCCTAGATTACATGTGCCACTCTGAGTTTTATGCTAATGAAACAGGCAGAAGCCTAACACTTAGAAGCACACAATGAAGGCTCTTCATTAGATCTACAGACCCTTACCTTCGAATGCAAGAGGATGGAAATGCTAAATCCCATTCCAACCATGGTTTCCTACCAGCAGCACCCCTCCAGACCAAACCCTAAAAACCGACTCTGAACCCCACAGCAATCCTCATTTTCCTTTTATTCCACCAAAAATTAAACCATGTTTAATTACTTACTAACTTTATAGTACCTATAGATCTTGGGAGAAAGCTGAGGACCACAACCTCCCATTTGTTTATGCCATGCGAGTCATATTTTTCTTCTTGCTAACAAGTGATCGTGGGAGCCCTTAGAAGCAGCTCATTCTGCATCCTCCACTTTCTTCTCAGTCAGACATGTGGCTCCTTCCAACAGCCATTACAGAAGCACTTAGCTCACCTATTGTCATTCTATGAATCTTCCACATGTCCTGCCTTTTCACATCTTCGAGATGAAATTACATACTTGCTTCTTTGGTCCTCAGAGACCTCCTGCAATTTCTTATTAGGTCACCTTCTCCACGTGTCCTTCTGTATTACAAGCTGCAAAGCCTTTCTTCTTTGCAGCTTGATGCCCAGCGTCCAGATTTCACACCTCCAAGTGACAGTCATCTCCACAATAGTGTCACAGAGCTAAACAAGTCTCTCTCGGTAGGTTTGAGCCAAAACATGTCCACAGAGAATACATTACTGCTGTTCACCCCTGACCGATACATAGGTTTGTCCAAGAGGACAGTTTTTTTGAAACAAACTGTGTTTTGTTTTGAAGATCAAATAAACTAAACTTATAAGCAAGAGATATGACCATCAAAACAACAGTCAGAGTTTTGAACCATCTTCCATCTCTTCTACAATACACAATCACTAACAAATACACCACACACTGGTGTGTACTGTTCACCTTATCCCACGCATTTCTGCTGGAGTCTTAGCAAGTTTTCTAAAGCCACCCAGGAAGAAGTGAGGATAATGCATTCCTACGCTTTTAACCTTTACTGATGTCAGCTGAAGAACCCAGGTGCTCTCCTTCAGACACTCAAACCTCTAGTTTTCCTAAACCTCTGTCAGGGATCCCCGATTCTTTTATTTAAAGGATGAGCAAGCTCAGCAGAGACTTTGTTTAAAACACTTGATCTACTGACAATCATTAATTGTACCTGAAAATGAAATTGCCAATGACAGCATGTTCCCCTCAAATTCCACCTAAACTCTGTCTGCCAGTTTCTGGAAAACAGCTGATTTTGAACTAAAGTGCTTTGAACGAATGCATTAGTAAATATAACATACTCAAAGACACCATTTATACTACAAGAACAGTAACAATTCCTTAACAGCTGTTTTAGCTTTTGTGGCACCAAAGATGATCTACGAATAATTTTAACTGTGATTAGGAGTTTCAAATGCCATGTCTATGTCTGGTATCCATTTAAAACAAACAAACAAAACCCTCAAAACCATACTATGTAGTAGAAAATTTAGTTCAAATATTTGGGTGCCAAAACCTAGCATCCTAGCACCCAAAACGAGTGAGTTGAAAGAGGGAGATAACAACATTAACACTTCTCATTAATGGCCATTACAACACTGTTTCTAAGCATCTCTGACCCAAGTATACTTCATAAGGTATACACTCACAGACATCATTTCCCAGTTTCTCTCTTGGATTTGTAAAACATATTTCAACAGCTAAGCGTGCTTCTTCAGAACTTCATATCCAAACAAAGCAAGACAGACTGACCACAGATTTTACACAATTAATGCAGCAGATGCTAATGTGCTGACTGAGAAAGAATGGAGTTTCTTTCATGAAAAGAAAGCAAAATCATGGATGGATCATAATCCCAAGTTTTGTTTGGGCAGGCATTTTCATTACCATATTTTATGATGCATTAGCAGGTTAGTGGTACCTTTAATAAAAAATACAAATTAAAAAAAAACACATATATTCACTGATTCCCTAGTAACGTGACAGTTCCCTCCAGCACTCTGGTATCAGAGCTTATGTACAAAAATGTCTCTTCAATATTAAGTAGCATGTCTTCAATACTAAATAGCATGCATCACATTTAGGTACATGAATTTTTCATTATGATAGTATGTTAAAACAAAACAAAATGCCAACCAAACCCAAAAATTACTAGTTGTAGTCAAAATTTTATTTTCTGAAATATTTCTAAATTTTTAGTAACAGTTGTTTATAAGCATCTCCATTCTTAGCACATACAGAAACATTTAGTAATGATCTACTACTGACGAATGAAAAGTTAATGTAATTTCATAAATGGAGACAAGCACATTATTTCATGTTTTGATACTAATACTTTCATTTCATAATAACCTCTAATCACTTATTTGCTCAAATCTCTTGCTTATTAAGAAACCTTTTCAGGAAAAGCTCACAGTGATCTGTCTGCACTCCTTCAAGCACTGTTGCATACCTGAGGAGGAGGTCACAGAGGAAGTTGTATCCTTGCCATATCCTAAAATCATCCAACAACATTTGGGATACATCACTGGAATCTTTGAGAAAACAAGAAAGTCCAGCAAACATCTCAACTATTTCTAGGGGAGAAAGGTCATCAGACTGCTGCATGTTCTGAACACACGTGGACAAACATTCCTTTTCTGAAAAGAACAGCAATTTCAAAATTTAGGAATTTACCGACATTAATCACAGCAAGAAGCATAACTAGTACAAGAATCACGGCAATAAGGTAACTGTTACTTAATTATCTCTTATCACTTAACATTTAATATCACAGAGCACTTGAAGACAAGTAAGATTCTCAAGTGGCTCTGTATCTGAACCCTAACCTCTTTTTGCCTACCCCTTCCTCCCTTTTGTAATCAAATCAAAGCATGAGATAGTGAAAGGATGCTCCTTCGCATATGATAAAATGTCTTATTTCCTGAATATGAGATAAGCCTCTTGACAGATGTTGCTATCTCTCAAGTCAGGTTCATTTTTATACCAAGAAGTGAGAGGGAATGCTGACTGGTTTTCTTTAAAAGGTTTTATTTCACTTTTTAAAGAACCTAGAGCATCTTTTGATACACCAGCCTCACTCCTCTGGGGATCAAGCCCATAGACAAGTGATAATGCTAGTATCTGCAATATGCCAAACACCACAGTCAAAACTCTGTTCTTTTCTTTGTTGAGCTTCACATTTTCACATATACATACATACATCTTCTACACTCATCGAAAACCCACCAGAAGGCTATTACAGATGCAGGCAAAATACCTATCACCTTTTAAGTCCCATCTGAAAATTCTGTGCTTCCAAGTGACACTATACATTCGTATCTTCCTGACTGGTATTGGAAACACGTTGCTAGCACAAGAAAAAACAGAGACTGAAATCTTCTGTGAAGTATGGGGGAGCAGACTGACATACTTCATAAACTGTCAAAATGGTTTTGTGGAGCCTTGTAAATACTTGCTTCCCAGGGTGTGAGCAAACTGTGGGTTTCTTTTTTTTCAGCAGGCGTACACTGCTAAAATGTATGATAAGTACGGTAGTTCACTTCAACAGTTGTTCCAATTTTAAAAATACAAATGCTTCTATGTGGTCCTACAGTCTACAAGTCCTTAAATATAATATTAGAAATCTATTCTACCAAATTTCCTACCTCAAATCCTACATATCTAAACACCCATGCAGTTATAAATTAATGTAACACAGGTATTTCGCACGCAAAGCTGCTCCTGAGCAGCTAATATCCTCTCCAGCACTGGTTTTCATCTCACTTTGTTCTCCCAAATTCTTTGTCATGAACCAGCTTGGCGGCTGCCCTTACTAAGCAGACCATGACCAGTCCCTTGTAAAGATACATGATGAATAAAGTACTTCTTGTATCAGCTACCAAAATCTGTAACCAGCTACAGAAATACCCCTATATGCTGCAGTTTCCATGACTGAAATAGTCAGGATGCTATTTGTCTCAAAAACGGACAGGAGATAAAATGGAATGATTCTGGCTGCTTCAGTCATTTGGTGGCTTGCAGGCTAGATTAAGCCCATGAGATTATTTTCTTTTGGCCTTGAGGGTGCACAAAACCTGCAATCTGTAAACTGTATGGCAAGGTGAGGAAGACAAGCACCTGGCAGAAGAAATGCAGGCAGGCTGAAGGGTCAGCAACCTAGTTAGCCAGCCAACAGGGAACATGTAAGGGCTGCAAACCCATCCAGCCATCAGGCTCTTTCCAGCTGTGTCCCAAAAGCTCCAAACCACATTGTGACACAGGCTCTAGGACAGACTACACATAAGATTCCTAGGATCACCAGTACTGAGAGACTGCCTCTTTTGGGCAGAGGCTTGGGTCTCGGCCAAGCAAAGGCCCTGGACCAGGCCCTAGGGACAACGTCCTTGGGTTAGGGACCCCACAGGGAAGCTGGGCTGGACCAGAGGAGGAAGCCAGCTGGCCATTTCAACGTGTCATCAATAAGCACTTGGAGGTTCGCAGTCAAGTGTTTCTAGGCCCATAATCCATGCTCCCTCGAGGATTTCCTGGTCTGTATTACCCAGGTTTTGCTGTTATCAGGGTATGCCAGCCCCCAGTGCCCCGGACAATGTAGAGTACACTGCAAATCAGTGGTGGTTATAACGATCTGACCCAGCTTCTTCCCACAAAAGCAAGATGTCTGGGAGAAAGAACCTCTTCCAGCATACCCAAATTAGCTCTGCCTGGTTTGTGTAATGCACCACTATTTACTACCTGGACTTCTAATAGCTCAAACTGCGTCAGCAGAACACATGGAGCTGGTTACTCTTCCTGTGGCTTCCTCAGATGTCTCTACACTTTTATTGCCAGCTTGAGAGGTACCCAAACAAGCAGCTGTGAACAGGACACTGCTAGCTTGCCTTGCGCCTCTGTGAGGTGCTGCTGCTAACTCAAACACAGGACAGAAAACAACTAAATCCCATTAAGAATTAATGCTTACAGCAAGTGTGACAAAGCTATGCATCTTTCCAGTCACTACTTTTCAATATCAGCAGTTACTGAAATTGCTGAAAGCCTTTCCTCTTGGTTAGCATAAACTCTATACCGTAACATGAGGGGAAACTCTGTCCTTCAGTGTTAACCTGAAACACAGATGAGGCAGACTCATCTACAAACACCTCTCTTGCTACACAAGTGCTCTGAAATTTTACCTGTATGTACATGCCTACATGTCCAAAAAAAGCCTGTAAGCTTTCCTTAATCTATCATTTTTATGCCTATTTCCTAACTAAGAAAACTATGACAGAAGAACAGGAAAAAAAGAGTAAGTAATATTGGATAAAGACACATACCATGAATGTATTTCACTACATTGACACTAAGGCCGTGACGCGATATGGTCATTAGTACTTCCCCTGCACTCTTCCTCCAAGGCAGATTATAGGGAGGGCACCATGAGGTTATTGCACTGAATAGAAGCTGAAGATCATCCTTTTGAGCCAGTTCTTCCGCCGGGGACACAAAACTGCACAATTTTACCAGGATCTGAAACAGTAAGTCATCAAACTTCTAGCATTAATACCCCGATCATTGCTATTTTTGTCTGGATTTAGTAAAAGGCGAAACATTCTTCCATTTAGCACACACTTTAAAAAAAGGCAACACGTTGTTTTCCCTTTGCATGTTGTTCCTGTAATCTGAATTACAGACAAAGTTATTCAACACGTTGTTAAGTCCCAGTTCAGTTTAAAATGACTAGCAACAGATTAGCAGCAGAATTTAAATCTCTTAGCCTGACAGAGCACACTTGTATGAAAACCAGGTTACTGCATTCTTGAAGAATCTGTCCGTTACCTAATTTACAGGTCTAAATGCTGCAATAGGGCAGAGGCTCTGTGAAGCAAACTGCTGTACCCCTTCGTAATGCAGGAAGCAGGCTTCTGATGTATTGTCTGCAGAGCAGCATCCATGCCATCTTGGCCAAATGAAAACAGCCAAAATAGCATGGCAGGAAAGGATACAGCAACACTATAGACCTACCTGGATGACTGACTCCTGGATCTGAATTTCCAGGTTACCTTAAACCCGACAAAATACAGCCATGCAACCAAAGTTACTACGTTACACTCCCTTTTCTGCATGTTTTGAGGACATCTGACATCCGTTTTGGTGTCTTGTGCAGGAAAAGCTGAGGCTCCCTCTCAGAAAACTGCAGGAAGACTTTGCAAGGCTTCCTGTGTCCAGAGTGAGGTTTGGAAGCTATCTGAAACCTCACCCATTCCAGCCAGCTCATCTGAGACCACCACTTTACAGTCCTTGAAGATGGACAGCGAAAAGTTGAGCTGTACTGTATTGGAGGGGACTCCTAACTGGTAACATTAATCATTTATTAACTCTCCCTACTGAAATACAGCAAAGCATTTTCTGAAACACAGCTCACACCACACCATGATTTCTGCTATGGAAGACAGTCTGTAGTCCTGAAATAAAAAAAAAAAAAAAAAAAAAAAAAAAAAAAAAAAAAAAAAAAAAAAAAAAAAAAAAAAAAAAAAAAAAAAAAAAAAAAAAAAAAAAAAAAAAAAAAAAAAAAAAAAAAAAAAAAAAAAAAAAAAAAAAAAAAAAAGCGCAGGTACCAAAATGTCTCTCAAATGTTATACCTATAAATCCTAACACTGCCTTCAAATCCTTCAAATGACGGACATGATTGCTGAAGGACCTCTATGGTTTTGCATATGTGGCTACAATGACCTTACACAGAGATGCGTCCAATTTTCACATGGAAACTGGTAGCATGATCATCAACCCCTTTCTAACAGTAACTGTCAGCTCCTTCTAAAAGTTTCATCAGGAGAATGCACGGGAGTTTCTTTGCAAGATCTCCAACTGAAACCTCACAAAGCAGGAGCAGGTCAGATGGGAGTCCCTGGTCTCCCTAGGAAATCTGGGGGATAACTGTAATAGTAACTGCAAGCTCAGATGGTTCATGCCCATATTTAAATGACTTGCTTTCATATTCGTAGTTTATTTCCATAATTAAAGGAAAAATAGCATATGTTAAATTAATTCACAGATTATTATCAATACTAATGATTTTTACTATACTTATTTCAATCAGTAACAGCCAAAGATACCAAAGACTAGGACCAGCTGGATTAAAACAAAGTAATAGTCAACATGTTGCCTCTTTTAAGCAGGTGCACAGAAGAGTTGCATGCTTTTTTGTGGAGGAGATATTTGCTGACGACAAAAACCGTAGTGGGAGCAGATATTTAACCTCAACTGTGCTTGCAGAAAAATCCATCTTACTGTGAGCCATTAGTTTGTGAACAATCAAGGAAGAGCAAAACCTCGTTCAAGTGAAAAGTTTCTGGACTTCTCTCACATGAAGCATTTCCATTCCTCTTGCAAATTCCATGATCCATTTTACCTTTCTTACCTGTACAAAGACTTTCTGAAGTAGTGCTCGGCGCTCTGCGAGAGGTAGTTCATTCTGTGCTCCTCCTACTACCTCAGGCACGTGTGGAAGGTCAAAAAACAGATATAGACATTTAACAAGTGTGGAAGGCACTGACATTGTAGTCATGCAGTCCACAGTTTTCTGGGGAAAAAGAAAACAGAGCAAAAAAACAGTTCAGCATATTACTACATTCAAAAAGTCACGCCCTCGTAATGCAGTTGATTCAAATGCTGTTTTTTCTTTCTTCTCACACCTTTGGTGAGGTGTCCATGCAGCAGTTCAGGTTTACCACCTATTCTTGAATGCCTACCTAAATAGTAACTTCAAAAAACAGGATCATAATTTAATTGCATGACAACATCATCTAACAGCCACAGTTCAGAGCAGTCACTGCCCAGGACAAAGAAAAACTGACCGTCTGCCAACAGAAGCTTACAAGTTAATTACAAGACTTTCAGCCAAGCCCTCATTAGCTATCTTGTCTTTGCCGCAGTACAAATGGGAGCGGGAGGAGGACTACTCAATTTGTGCACTCACTTGGCAAGAAGGTGTAAGCAGGCATAAGGAGCAAGGTAATAGAAAACATAAAAGCATCAGTGGGAAGACAAGTCAAATTGGGGTGGAGGGTGGTGACATACTAAACATAGGTAAGATGATGTGCTGAATTATAAAGGCAGACTAGAGCTGAAAGAACAAACCATGCAGCTGTCCAGTACATTGCCAGAGATCGGCTCTCTGATGGAGGGCAGCACCAAAAGCAAGGGCAGTAAAGATTCATGATATCACCCGCTCATCATTGCCACTGGCTTCGCTTTTCGCAACTGCTGCTGCTCTCCTTGAATGGGGAGCCCAAGTTCAAAGTCCAAGTGATTTAGGTGCTGTATGTGACAGGCATCTCACGGGGCACTAAACAGCAGCATGCAAGAGAAACCTTTGGGGAACAATAAAAGTTGTGTGCATAATTCAAAATTAAAGTTCCAAAACAATGATTTGTTTAGGCAACTGAAATTACAAGGAGCTGAAGCCAAAGTTCTGTGGCAGTATAACAGAAAAAGGATCTTCACATAGAAAGCAGAATATTAGTTACAACATCTTACAATGCATGTTCACGCAGCTCATTATTTCACTGCTTTCATCTCTCCCATCCCACAATTTATTTTCAGCCTTGCTGTTTAAGACTAACCTGTCCTGACGAAGCTAGTAAATTGATTGTGGTGAGCAGCATCCAACCTCTACTTGCTTCTTCACTTTGATTGACCTCCAGAAACTGGACTATGGCACGACTTGCAGCCTCTATAGGGGAGCAGTTAAAAAAAAAAAATGCAGTAAGAATTCAATCTGGTAGTCTGCGGAAGGGAACACATCCTCTCAACAGTTCCAAGTGCTGAGCATGAATTTGCCTCTCCAGCACTACTTGAAAAAAGGGCTAGGCTTAGGCCTCTTACACACACATGTTCCAGTCTTACATACACACTTGGCTTTGACACCATCAAGGCTATAAAAAGTACACTTTTAGGTCATGCTTCATCTTTCAAACCAGCAGATCGATTTCACTAACATGCAGCAACTTCTGTTTCAGTATTTTGGCTTTATGAAATACAATATATTCCTTTCCAGATATATAAAGTCCCCATCACTTAGTGGTCTCAGTGGGAAAAGCTGATATTCCACTTTGGAAAAAAAGCACTGCACTGAAACAACAGTACAGAGGATAACAGGAAAAGACTGGAGGGAAGGAGAGGTGCAGAAAGACAAACGGAATAAAAAACAGGAAGAAAAAGTACAATTAAGACTAAGATCAGCAATTACCACATTCCAATCCTACATTTTTTTTGTCAAGGAAGGCTGGACCAGATGATCCTTGAGGTCCCTTCCAACCTGGTTTTCATGATTTTATGATTTTTTGGAAAAGGAAAATGCTAACAACTTATGGCTTATGACTACTTCTGGAATCAGATGCCATTCTGTATCAGTTGGAGCTTAAGATAAATATTCAGCCTAGCAAACAAATGATCAGCCTCAATAAATAAATCAACAGAAAATGCAATCCTATCTCACTGGTGTCTGAATACACACTTACATTAAGAAATCTATAATGCCAGTCATGATGATTGTCCATTACCCTTAAGTGAAATCTAAAACCATTTTTCATTAATAACTGCATATCAATCATCTTCAGTGCTTTTTCTGTCCTTCAGCTAGGACAGAAAAGGAAGATGCGTAACATTGCTTAAAAAAGGAATTACAAAGGAATTACTAATGGAGGAATAAATCAGCAACTGAAGAAAAATCCAATTTTCATCTTCATTTGTTCACTGTATCTGCTGCCAAGATTCCCCAGCACATACCTGTGAAGAAGTTTGTTCTGAACACATTTCATATGGCAAACTGCTTATCAAACTTTTAGCAGTGACTACATTGAAAAGATAATTTTCTGGAGCACCAGACTGTAAGTTGAGTTGGACTAGTAAACCTAAAAAGCAGATGATCTTAGAAAAAGAAAACAGTTGTTTGCTTTACATTGTTAACACTAACTTTTTGCAACAGAGATTATCACTATACAGAGCCAAAGCCATCAGTCACTGTATGTACTGGTGAATCAACGTAACAAAAAACCAAGGTGTAAAGAAACACTTTGATCCACAGGAGGACAGCTGGTAGATGAAGAGAAGCAATTACCCCCCTCGGCACAATGCTCATTAGATAACATGTGCAACGCTACATCCAGTTTCAGTGTCAATGAAATACAGGGAAGACAACTATCAATAGGAGTTCAGCCGAGGGCCATCAAGATGTCTGGGGGCTAGAGCACCAACCCTGTGAGGAGAGGCTGAGGAACCAGGGCTTGCTCAGCCAGGAGAGGGGACAGCCTCAAGGGCACTGAACAGCAGCCCCAGTGCCCACGGTGGGGGGAGCTATCAAGAAGTCAGAGCCAGGCTCTTCACAGCACTGACTGGCTGGAGAGTGACAAACAACAGGCTTACGTCAAGAGAGGTTCAGATGGCACATAAGAAGAAATATCTCCCCACCCCGAGGAGAGAGATGCACTGAAACAGGGCCCAGAAAGGCTGTGCTGTCTCCCACCTTGCAGGTTTTAAAGATACAACAGGATCCAGTCCTATACAACCTGGTCCCATCTCACAGATGGTCTGGCTGTAAGCATGAGGTCAGACAAGAGACCTCTCTTATTCTGTGATTTTCTCTCACGTTGCGGGGGGGGGGAAGAAAATCTATTTGACGTCTCACTCGGGGGTATTTCATGTCACCCATGCTGGTGTCAGTTTCATTCCCTTCCACTGCAAAGAGGATGAATTTTTCCCTAAAGCCCAAAAACCCTTTTATAGTCATAACCCTAGCAAAAAAGAAAGAGAGACAGATTTAAGGTAAAAATCCAGATTTGGTTCATTTGTGCAATGGCTATTTTCCCATGTTTTTGTTTTGCAATCTTATTCACATAGCAGGTTTTTGTACAAACCACTGGCTTTTCCATAGTTGGTGCTGAAGTAGGAGGTGGCACCTACCAAATCCCTGCATGAGACTGACTGAGATGAAACAAATTTTGAAACACCAAAGGTGAAAGGTAGGGCAATTTCTAAAACTCCCACAAACGTGGACATGCAGCAACTTCCCAGGACGCTGACCTGAGGTAACCTGCAGGCACTCTGTCTTCCAAAACCATTGGTGCAAAATATTGGCTGGATGGTTGTGTGTATAAGCAGACCAACTTAGAAAGCACAACAGCCGTGCCACAGCCATAGTTCCCACACTAAAGGCATGAAAAAATGTCACAATTCCTGGCAAAAGCCACTTTCCTAAACTCCGTGTGTCAAGCATATCTAAAGCACTTGCTACTTCTACAATGACGGAGCCCCACCAGCCCAGGTTAGGTGCAACTTAGTGGGCCCGTTCTCTTTCTATCTGACCACACAAGAGCTGGGCACTCAGTCTCTGACTGTAAGCAGGTACAACTGGTACCAAACAGAGTGTGCACAGCCTCCCTTGGGCTTCGTCTCCAAAGCCACCTGTGGAACAGCAGCTCTTTTAGCCACCTTTGAAAGTGAGACTCAGCGGTTAAGTATATGCTTCCGAAAAAGTTGTCATGCTGCTGGCACCCTAAATAGCACAGCAGTTGAACACTACCAGTTTCAAAACTGTCAGCCTTAATTACCTAAATTACTACCTAATTACCACCTAATTACTACCTAAAATACAGTCAGCATTTTAAGTGCAGGAAGAAGTTCTCGTCATCTGCTCTGAGCCAAATTTGATAGCACTATCATTTTAAATTAATTGTTATCATCAGCACTAGTCTTAAATTATTTCTTGTACCTTTTCCCTGGTTTTGAACTGCTCAAGTCAACTTTTTAATATAACAGCCTCTATGTGCCCCACCCAGATGTCCTTAGCCCTTTAACATCTGCAGAACAAACCACCAAATCTAGGATTGGGATATACTAGCTAGTAAAAACAGCAAAACAGCAAAGGGAAAAGCCTACAAAATAATATGTAAGCGTACATATCTTCACGACTGTGCAAGCACGTACGCATAAGTATGACCATGATTATGTGGTTACATGGTTAATAAACAGTAGTCAGACTCTTCAGCATATATGGAATAGAGTCTTGGTAAAATAAAACACCAGAAGTTGTTTCATACGTAACAGATGACATGGGTGCTTTTTATCCTGGACTTCAGAAAAGCAGCAGACGGAAAGCAACGGAAATAGACCCATTCAGAAGGCTAGCAAAAAGCAGCACTGCATTACAAGCAACACTATTGCCTACAGCTATAACACTAAGGACAAAATTCAGCACATGAAGCCTTTAGTTAACTGTTCTAATACCATAAAGAGCATATAATAGTGTCATCACACTTTTGTATAGCTTATTCTTATCCTAGAGTGGAATACTAAACAAGTGGAGGAAAATAAGGTTATCAGGAGTAGTCAACACGGATTCACCAAGCGGAAATCATACTCGACCAATCTGATAGCTTTCTATGATGGCATGACCAGCTGGGTAGATGAGGGGAGAGCAATGGAGGTTGCCTATATCAACTTCAGCAAAGTTTTTGACACTGTCTCCCATAACTGCCTCATAGGCAAGCTCAGGAAGTGTGGGTGGTCGGTGAGGTGGATTGAGAACTGGCTGAATGGCAGAGCTCAGAGGGTTGTCATCAGCGGCACTGAGTCTAGTTGGAGGCCTGTAACTAGTGGGGTTTCCCAGGGTCAGTACTTGGCCCAGTCTTGTTCAACTTCTTCATCAATGATCTGAATGAAGGGACAGAGTGTACCCTCAGCAAGTTTGCTGACGACACATAACTGGGAGGAGTGGATACACTGGAAGGCTGTGCTGCCATCCAGCGTGACCTGGATAGGCTGGAGAGTTGGGTGAGAGGAACCTGATGAAATTCAACAAGCGGTCCTGCACCTGGGGACGAAGAACCCCATGCATCAGTACAGGCTTGGGGTGGACCTGCTGGAGAGCAGCTCTGTGGAGAGGGACCTGGGTGTCCTGGTGGATGAAAAGTTAGCCATGAGCCAGCAGTGTGCCCTGGTTGACAAGAAAGCCAATAGAATCCTGGGGTGCATCAAGAGGAGTGTGGCCAGCAGGTCGAGGGAGGTTCTCCTTCCCCTCTACTCTGCCCTAGTGAGGCCCCATCTGGAGTACTGTGTCCAGTTCTGGGCTCCCCAGTTCAAGAAAGATGAAGAGCTACTGGAGAGAGTCCAGCAGAGGGCTACAAGGATGGTGAGGGGACTGGAACATCTCCCCTACGAGGAGAGGCTGAGGGAGCTGGGCTTGTTCAGCCTGAAGAAGAGAAGGCTGCGAGGGGACCTAATAAATGCTTATAAATATCTGAAGGGTGGGTGTCAAGAGGATGGGGCCAGACTCTTTTCACTGTAGTGCCCAGCGACAGGACAAGGGGCAATGGGCACAAATTGAAGCATAAGAAGTTCCAGCTGAACACGAAGAAGAAATTCTTCACTTTGAGGGTGACGGAGCACTGGAACAGGCTGCCCAGAGAGGTTGTGGAGTCTCCTTCTCTGGAGACATTCAAAACCCACATGGACGCTGTCCTGTGCAGCCTGCTCTAGGTGACCCTGCTTTGAGAGGGGGGTTGGACTAGATGATCCCCAGAGGTCCCTTCCAACCCCTACCATTCTGTGATTAGTGAAAAAATATCTATGCATATACCAAGTGGGACGGGGGAACAGGAGGTATGGGTGGGTGTGTAAGGGCAGGTGGGTGGGTAATAATCTGAAGTCAAGGACCCCTTCTCTAATCAAGCCTTC